GTGAGCAGCAACCACATAAAACCCGCCTCTTGGAAGATGGAACTCGAGACACCCAACGAGTTCTCCCTTCCATGTATACCAAGGGGGCCATATTGGAAGATGTGAATCGGGAACTCCAGAGTAATGGCTACAAGAAGCTGAGCCAATCTAGATTTAGTAGATTGTGGAGCAACAGGTTCAGGGATGTGAGTATAGGAAAGTACTCCAGCTTTTCAAAGTGTGACGAGTGCACTGCTATCAAAATGGCTTTGTCGAAGAATTCTTGCATCGCTCAAGAGCGAGAGACGTTGGTTAGAAGGCGGCTCGACCACAACATCGAGCAGAGAAGCTGCAGGACTGCATATTATCATAACAGGATTCTCTCCATGGAGAGACCTGACTCTTACCTCTGCATCATCCATGACAAAATGGACCAGAAAAAGATGTGCTTACCTCGACTCAATCCTGCCCCCAAGGCAATCTCTTCATCCATGCAGCTGCCTGTGTCTCTGTTTGGCATAATCGCTCATGGGCATGGTGCCTAGAACTATGGAACTTCTTTGTACCTCTATGGGGTGGCGGGGGTGCAAACATGATGATTGCGTCCCTAGCAAAACACTTAAGGTCTCTGCAAAGTGCGCAGAATGAGCTGAACGGCCAACCCTTGCATAAGGCCCTTGTCGATCGAACCCCATACAGGGTTCAGCTGGAGGAGGAGCAAAGGCTTGCAGTATCGCGTGGGGCCCCATGCCATCCCAGTGAATATGTTGGCCGTCAGATTGTAGGGTTATCACGTGAGGCCTCATGCCATTCCGACGAGGCTGGTCGCCCGGTGAATGCACAGCCTCATCCAAACGAAGCAGAATCTCAAGGAAGTTCTTGCGGCTGATGTGGCCTTCCACCCCATCTTCTGCTCCAAACAGACAATGCTGGCAGTGAGAACAAAAACATGTACGTCTTCGCGTACTTGGCGATGCTTGTTGCCAAAGGCATATTTGAAACGGTTACACTTGGCTTTCTCATAGTTGGGCACACTCATGAAGACGTCGATGCCATGTTTAGTCACCTGGCAGAGTCCCTCCGGCGATCCAATGTCCTCACCCTCCCACAACTCTACGATGAATTCCAAAATTGCATCAAAGGCACTGTTGGAGCTGCACTTGTGACAGAGGTTCCAGACTTTAAGGGGTTTGTAAGAGGCTACATCAGGGACGGATCCGAAACGCTGATTGGCCACTCCAAGCCTCTTCAATTTCATTTCAGCATGTGTGACGGTGCTCCAGTGATGAGGTACAAGATGAGAGAATGGGACACAGTGTGGCTGCCAGTGGACGGCATTGAACTCTTCAAGAGAGATCCTATAACTGGGGAACCTATGATTCCTCAGGGTTCCCCACGGCCGATGCACCCGGATGGACTCAAAGACCAGGAAAGTATAGTGGCCGGGATTAGACAGCATATTGCCTTCTGGAAGAGGGGGTTGGTGTTTGGTGGAGAATCCTATTTTCAGAGGTGCAAGCCTTTGATCGAATATTGGGAGAAGATTATATCTGCTATCCAAAATGGGCCGGTTGTATATGAAGAATTGGAAGAGTCCTTTTGGCCAGAACCCAGAGCACCAGATAGTAGCGGAACAATGTCCTCTGGAAATGCAGTGACAGATAACGATGTTGAGGATCACTATTGTGGGCCGAGGAACAAGAAGCCGGATTCAGCATTCAATCCAGTACAGGTCTGCAAAGGAATGGTTGTGCTTGTCAGACCCAGTAATAAAAAACAAATGATATGGGTGGGGCGCTGCATCACTGATGCAGAGGAGGACGCGGAAACTAACTCCTTCAATGTAACTGTGGAGTGGTTCAAGCCAAGTTCCGGATATACGAAGGATTGCCTAGAAAAGAGATGGGTGCTGAATCCAAGGGATCCCAGCATGAGCATATCGGTGGATAATGTTGTGCATGGTTGGATGCGGAAGCAAAGTGCCACCATCACCTTGCCAGACCATGCAAGAGATGCAGCAAGAGCATTCATAACCCGGGTTCAAGGTGAGATTCATTAATATTCCTTTACTAAGTTTCTAATGTATTTTATTTCAAGGTGAACAATCCAAATCTGAATCAGAGGAGGCGTGATGGCATGTGGCTTTACGCCATTCCTAGGTGAGATGATACAAATAACAAGTATAAATTCTTAGTTGTTTTAGCAAATCTTACTTAAAGTTCAAGGTGAACAAGCCGAATATGAATTCATCGGATTGTTATAACAAATTGCGAGGTGATGGCATGAGGCGATACGCCATTTGAGAGTGGTAGCCATTCCTATATGAGGTGAGTGAAATATTTATTAGAAATACCTCATTCAATTGTGCACTTCTAAGTCTTGGTCCACTCAGTACTGTTTGCATGTTTTTATTTTAATTCTTTCTCTAAAATGTTATTTAGCATGTAGCTTCATGCCATTGCTCTCCACAATCATGTATTGAATTTTTCTATCCTTGCATAATACTTCTCCATATATATAGCATGTGCGCACATGTGATATGGTTCATTAGGCCTGATATAGTGTGTGAGGTAAAACAAAGATGATGTGACATATGCATTTACCAATTACATGTGCATAAATCTAATAATATGGCGTGTGGCCCATATTAATGGCACATAAACCCATATTGTGGGCTTACGTGCTTTATGTACCATCATTCCCTTGCAGCGTGTGTGTTGGTTTCCTTTTATAACACAACGAACTCCATATTTTAGGGTGAAGAGCGTTCTCATGGCAAGCACAAAATCTGTAAGTGAGGCAGAAAAGGAGACAGAGAAAGAGATAGGTGAAGATGTAGAATATATAAGTCTTCCAAACTCCCCGTACTATACTCCAGGTGATCATTTTTCTGAACAAACGACAACATTAACAACTATTGAGAACGCCCCAATAACATCAAAGACAACAATCCAAAGCAAAACAACTGACCCGGAGAAGGATGATAGTACTGCTGAGAGTACCAAAAAGGAGGTGTCCACTAGCGCTTAGGCTTATAATGGCGTGTGCCCTCATGCCATTTATTTGATCACCAAATACTTTTTTCCCTTTGCACTAGTATATCTTAATACCGGTCTGAGAAATAGAATGGCATGTGCCCTCAGGCCTTTTACTAAATCACCTTTGAAAGAAATGCAAGCCTCTATGTCGTAAAAAAAAGGTACTAGAGAAATTCCTTAATAATATGAATGTTATTTAGTTTCATGAAAATACACTAAGGGTCAAATGAGTTAAATGACTTCTCCAGACTAGCAATGCCTCTTGCTACACCTTCACAATTAGATTCGTTAGAAAAAGATAACATTGAATAATATCTAAATGTTCTCACCATTAAGTTATATGTCTGGCTAATAGGAATGACGTTCATCTTAGAAAGCTCACCACACGCTCAATGAACAAACAAATAGTGTGTGTGCGCATGCCATCGCTTTTCTTTAGCTTCAGATTCGGCTTGTTCACCTTGACAATGAGATTTATTATACAACCAGATGGACTCAGTCTGAACACAAAGTCACCGCGCTAGTCACCATGCCCTAGATATGTCTAGCCCCTGGACAAAAAACATATAATTTCACGTCATTTTCAAATACTTGAAAATTTGTACCTAGTCCCATTTTACTGAATAAATCCTACTTTAACGAAATAGAGCATTATATCAGTGAATGCTAAATATAGGATTTAGGCCACCCTATAATGTGATGTGAGAGTCATAGTTTCTTTTTTATACTTTCATGGCTCTAGAACAAGGTATGCTACCTACAATCAATACCATATTCTTCTTCTTCTTTTTTTTTCCTTTTTAGGAATAAGTAATACCATTAAAGCTATTGTGCATATAATGTCTTAGTTTCCTTTAAAGTTTATTTCATTATGAGTAAAGTGTAGAGTTATATTTTTAAGAATGATAGCATTCTAGCATGAAAATATAATAATTTGTGTCTTTAAATCTTTCTTAATTTTCTTGTACATCCATGTATATACACCTTCTAAAGGTGTGATGAGATTAATGATAATTTAGTGGTGATAGGTTTAATTACTAGATCAAACTACACAAATAGTATTATTTGATTGTGGTGGTTTGCTTTTGCTTTTTTTTTAACTTTACTTTAATGTTTGATAGTATTTAGGTGATGTTTTGACATTGACATTGTTAATGTCAATGTTAGAATGAGATGAGATGTTTCTTTATGGGTTTACAAAGGAAATTGGATTTTCTATCTACAATGATTTAAATGGTTAGTTATTAATTAAAAATTAACATTTAATTTTACTAGTTTTGATGATGATGATGTTGATGATCTAGCTATACATTTATTTTATTAGATTCATGCATTTACTAATTGGTAACTATATTCACATACAAACAAAATAAATGACAAGTTGAGTAAGTTTTATTTTAAACAAGATTACTTGGTAGTTTTTCCTTGGAAAGTGGTTTAATCATGGTTTATGCTGTTGGATTTAAGTTTAAAATTATCAATCATTGATGATTTTTATTATGCTTGTTTTGAAATGAGATGCTTTTGGTGTGGAAATGAATTCATAGAAGAGTGGTTTAGTGATCAATTTTTAAACATAGCTTTGTTGTGTTTAAATTTTTGATTAATGCATATATGATTTTCATTAAAGTTTCAGTTTATAAATATGTTTATAAAAACATTATAGATTATACTTTAGATTGTTTTTGAGCATTGTAAATAGTCGATGTGAGATTAGTGATCTTATTATATAGAACTTAATTATAAATTTCTTCATCTTTTAATTCTTATATTTATTATTCTATTTGTTAAAAGTTATTGAAAAAAACATTTTACCTCATTAACTTTGATGTTCAAGTTAGTTTGCATATCTTGCATACATTTATGATAATTAATTAACATCAACGATAATTAATTATCTTTGTTCTATTTGATTGATAAGCTTCAAATTTTAAGTTTTTTTCAGCATTATTTGTAATTTTAATGGAGGTTTAGGGCTTTTCGATGGCGCGATCGATCGGCAGGGGCGGCGCCAGGCCGATCGAAGAGCCGCTGGAGGCTGCGATCGATCGCATTTGCAGCAGCAGTGAGGCGGGCAGCACCGCAATCTATATCCCGCTGCTCCGGCGCTGCCTGGAGCAGCGCGCGCTGCCCCAGGGCAGGCGATTGCACGCGCACCTCCTGGAATCCGGATTCCTCGAGCGCAGCGCCGCCGATCCCATCGTCGCCAGCTACCTGGTGAAGATGTATGGCAGATGCGGCAGCGTGGCGGATGCCGAGGCGGCATTCCGCGCCTGCGATCCAGTGCGCACGCCCTACACCTGGAACAACATGCTCTCGGCGTACCTGGGCAACCATCTCCCGCGCGAGGCGCTGGAGATCGGCAAGAGCATGGATCTCGAGGGCGTTCCCAGGAGCGCCTCCAATCTGGTAAGCTCCATCTCTGCCTGCGCTCGCCTTGGCTCAGCGTTTCTTTCGCAAGGCAGGGAACTCCACGAGCGCTACCGCCAGTGGTGGCGGCGGGGAGGCGGAGGAGAGGTGGCGGTGGCGGGCGAGGAGGACGATCTGGTGGCCACCGCGCTGGTGGACATGTATTCAAAGTGTGGGAGCTTGGACGATGCTAGGCGCGTCTTCGACGACTACTCGGTGGATTCCAAGAGGATGGCGCTGTGGACGGCCATGGTCTCCGGGTATGCGCTCCATGGGCATAGCCGCCAAGCGCTCGAGCTCTACCAGCGCTTTCTCTCCGTATCCAGCGAGCCCCCGGACACTGTGATGCTGCTCAGTGCCATCACCGCCTGCTCCAGCGCAGAGTTTCTCGACGATGGGAGAGCCATCCACGCGCAAATCTCTTCCCGGGAACTGGATCACCACACCCACCTGGGGAACGGGCTTGTCAACATGTATGGGCGATGCAAGGAGCTCCACAGGGCGCGGAAAGCCTTCGAGAAGATCACTGCCAAGAACTTGGTGTCGTGGAACGTGATCATCGGGGCGTATGCCCAGGAGGGGCATCGCGGCCACGCCATGGAGCTCTTCCAGCGGATGGATCCCGAGGGGGTCGCGGCCGACGCCGTCACCTTTCTCCACGTCCTCGACGCTTGCGGCGGCGTGGAGGCGGCGGGGGACGTCCGGAGGATCCACAAGAAGCTGGAGCTCTCGGGCTTGGAGTGGGACGTGTTCGTCGCCTCGTCGCTCGTCAACGCCTATGGGAAGTGCGGCTGCCTCGCCGAGGCGAAGAGGGTCTTCGACGCCATGCCGCTCAAGAACACGGTGACCATGACGTCGATGCTCGCGGCCTACGCACAGCACGGCCTCGGCGAGGAAGCTCTTGAGATCTACAGGGAGATGGAGTCGCAGGGGAGGAAGGCCGACCGGGTGACTTTCATCAGTGCTCTCGACGCTTGCTCCAGCATCGGGGCTCTCAGCCAGGGACGAGCGATCCACAGCCGGCTGCTCGTGAGTGGGATCATCCAGCAGCCAGACGTGGTGCTGGGGACGGCGCTGCTCAACATGTATGGGAGGTGTGGAGTGCTCGGCGCTGCAAAGTCGCTCTTTGATGGGATGGCGGACAAGAACACAATCACTTGGAACGCGCTCATGGGGTCGTATGCTCAGTGGGGGTATGGCAAGGAGGCGCTCAACCTCTACCACTCCATGGACGCGCAGCCAAACTCTCTGACGTTCCTGGCGGTGCTCACGGCTTGCTCGACGGTGGGAGCGCTGCTCCAGGGCCGAGCTGCGCACGCAAGGCTGGCTCCGGCCGGGTTTGAGAAGGAGGTGGAGGTCGGGGTCGCGCTGGTAAACATGTATGGCAAGTGTGGCAGCCTCGAGGACGCGCTGGGAACGTTTGCGAAGCTGGAGAGGAAGACGGTGGTGACTTGGACGGTGGCAATGCTGGCGCTGGCTCACCACGGCGAGTTTCGAGAGACGCTGCGGTTGTTCACGGAGATGGAGCTGGAAGGGGTGGCGCCGGACAGTGTCGCGCTGCTGGCGGCGCTCTTCGCTTGCAGTCACAGTGGAAAACTCAAGGAAGGGAGGAGCTACTTCACCAACATGATCCAGGACTACGGCGTGAGTCCGACGCTGGCGCACTACGACTGCGTGGTGGATCTGCTGTGCCGGACGGGGCTGCTGGGCCGGGCCGAGGAGCTCATCGACAGCATGCCGTTCGAGCCGAGCGCCGTGACTTGGACGACGCTCCTGGCGGCGTGCCGGACTCACTCGACCCTCTACGACAAGGCAAAGGTGGCGGCGGACAAGGCGCTAGAAACGGAGCCTCACAACGCCGGGATCTACTTCGCGCTCTCGTACATGTACTCGGGCGTCCGGACTTACAGGCAGGAGCGGCTCAACGTCTCGGACAAGCTCAACTCGATCCAGCGCCAGGTCGGGCGGTGCTTCATCGAGACGAGGGACCAGATCCACGAGATCGTGGCGGGGGAGACGGCGGCGCATCCTTACGCGGCCGCCGTTGACGAGGAGCTCCACCGGCTAAACATCGAGCTGACCATCGAGCGGGGATGCAAGGTGGAGGAGAAGAACCACAGCGCCAAGAGGGCCGTGGTGCTGGGGCTGGTGAGCACGCTGCCCGGCACCACCATCCGAGTGGTCAAGAACCTCAAGCTGTGCGCCGACTGCCACCACGCGATCAAGCTCTTCTCCAAGATCCGCGGCAGGAGGATAATCGTAAGGGACTACGTTGAGTTCCACCACATCGAGAAGGGCGTGTGCTCGTGCGACGGAAGGAAGCCGGCGCTCGGCCTGGGGCTGGATTGCTTGGTCGCTCCTCCGACTCACATACCGGGAACTCTTTGGTGATTTAACGTTGCATGGGCTTTCTTGCAGCAGTTTCCAGCTCATGTAGAAAAGGTGGTGGCTGGCGTTCAAAAGAAGAGGAAGCAAAATACAATATCAAAGGCAACGGAGGCTTATCGCATCCTAAAGTGTTGCCTCCGAGACGCTTGGCTGCGCTTGCCATTGAAAGTATACTCGACGACAATGTCCACGTCTCGAGGATTGCGGGCGTTTGGAGCCACCGACATCTTCCCGGTAAGCGCCTCTCCCTCGCAAATCGTGATCACGTCTTCCAGATACAAGACGGTTTGCTTCCAGTGCGTTGGACGAGAACGAGGCCCTGTTACAAGAAATCCAAGCCGTGAGAAGACTCCAATTCAGGCAAAGTGAAGGGCGTTTTACCTGTGGAGAATCCCACCACCTTGTGGCACTTTGTAAAGGAGACGTCGAAGTATGCTACCAGCGCATGGATAAAATCGTTTCGGGTGGCAACGAGCTTGAACGGAGCCGAGAAGGACACATCCCCGGGTGTCATGTTGCTAATATCCATTGTCTGCAAGTTTTTTTAAAAGAAAATCAGTCTTTCAAGCTCAGCAAACAAAGAAATTGAAAGGATACAAGAATATGAGAGAGACTTGAAGATTTGAAGCAAAGAAATCCAAACGATAGAGACAATGAAACTGATGATATGATAGAAAGATATGAAGCTGAGACGACAAACAAGAAAGAACGAGAGGAAAAGAAAGAAAGAGAGGAAAAGAAAGAAAACGCGGACCTTGATCAGCTGCGTCTGTGTGACGATCTGGTTTGGCTCGACCGTGTCAACCAGAGGCTCCAGCATCGCTTGTTTCTTGATGCAGCTCATGTCAAATCCATAGACCGAGCTCCAGACTGAAATGGCTGCGTTAGACAAGCTAGACGCCATGTAAAAGTAAACTACCAACAGTTTATTTTCTCGTGCTTGTAGTCTGCGTCTTCGATCGCTGTCAAGTGCAAGCTTGTTCTGTCCGGAAGAACCACGCCGCCGGGCACCTGGGAGAATCGAGAATTCATTACGATGGAAACAAGAGAGAACTGGACAACTTACGAGCCATTTGTCACGGGCATACAGGACAGTGTCGAGCATGTTTTCGAAGAGAAGGAAATATCCCATCCATTCGGAGATGATCACGTCCACTTGCTGAACAGGGAGCTCGATCTCTTCCACCTTGCCTTTGAGGACAGTAATCACTGCACACCACATAGAGGAAGTTGAGCTTCTAAAACACGCATTGTTTGGTTCGCGCTTACCATCACTATATCCATTCTTTTGTATGATTTCTTTCGCGGTATTGGCCATTAGCGAGCATTCCACCTGCAAGAGGCGAGGAGCAATCCATCTGGAGGAACAGAAATAAGAGAAGAAACCATACCGCATAGACATGCTTTGCTCCACCCTTCGCACAAAACAAGGAGAGAATTCCCGTCCCGGCACCGACATCTAGAACTACCTTGTCCTTGAAGAGGAATCCATTTTCATAAATAACGTTCTGGTAAGTCTTCGTTCTCACAGTATCTTTAAGCATTTCCTGCAAGCAAGCACCAAAGAGAAAAACAATAATGTGGCCGAGACAATCGCTTGTTTCTGGCACTTACTTCGTGAATACCTGCAAACAAACACAAAATCAGCCTCTCCACGCCACAAGCCCGCGACTGCTTACCGAAATGCGCATAAGAATCGAAGTAATAATCCGCGCTGGTGGGATCGACCTCGTGCTCCTCGGGGAGGATTTCCTCCATCGGCTTCTTCAGCGCCACGAGATCCATGGGCTCCGCCTCCTCCTCCTGGGCCGCCACGCCTGGCGCCGCCCCCTTCTTTGGCCTCCTACGCCCCATGGCGCCTAAAGCCCTAAACCCTAGGTCTACCCAAGAACCCTAAAAGGCGAAAGGGACAAAAGGAAGGAAAAAAAATTTCTTCATTCTTTTTCATGAGAGAACGCTGTTTGCTCCTTCCCACGTAATTGGCAAGGGATGAGCCTCTGTATTGAAGACGAAGTAGCTGAGCGGCAAAACATCGTCCTCCCCGAACAAAAGGAACAAGTACTTGAGCGTTTCTCCCAGGAAGAACGTCTCCATCTTGTCTCGCTTGTAAGAATTCGCGACCGTGACATCGTCAATGCTGCTGTAGCCACCGGTGCTGATCTTGGTGTGAGCTTCGAAGGCTTGGAAGATCTTCCATCCCCATTCCCTGTACCTGGAAGTAAGCAAAGAGTGAGAGAGAAGCTCTTGAGCCGCTCCAAAGGAAGAAAAACTTACATCGAGTCGCCAGTTATCCTATACAATACAAAAAGAGACTCCACCGTCTCGGGGCGAAGAAGGTTGTGACGATCCAGAGGCTTGATGATGATGTCCTCTTTGTATTGAGCGTCAGGCTTGCCGCCATCCATGCCTTCTGTGTGATCGCCCTGTTCCAAGCCGGCGTTAAACTCTTCGAGGACAGCGAAGAAAAGAAGAAGAGGATGAAAGCTTGACAGACTTTACCTCAGTTCTAAAGTAAGCTATCTCGGGAGCTAGTCCGGTAATAGTCACGTTGTACATCTCGTAGCAAGTTCTAGCCAGCTCTTTCGCAAGGGCCAGATCCTGCACGTCCTTCTCGCTCAAGAATCCGGACTCCTTGGCATCCTTCTCGGGAAATCCTCGAGTTGCTCCTAGAGCAAGATTTCCGGCTAGAAAGCATACCTTGCACAAGGAAAAGCAGAATCAGTCTCAAAAGTAAACAAGACAGCGCTATATGCGAAACGTAAACGTACCAAGTGATCCATTTTCGGACTGAAATCTTCGTTTCTTCCACTCGGAAGCTCGCCTACGAAAGTGAGGCCATTTGGTACTGACTTCGCGACCAAAAGGTGCTTGACCCCCGCCATTGCTTCGTCGTACATACCTCGAAGATATTGGACATCCTGTCCATCGCCAACGCCTCCCTGTTGGATCCAGACCTTGAGCAGATATTCGTAGTAGCTGTCCCCTCTCGATCCGAGTCTTATGTTGTTCCCTTGAAACGTTCCAGAATGCGGGCTGCAAAGAGCAAACACTCACCTTATTAGTAACTGAGAGAGAGAGAAAGAAAGAGAAGCTTACTTACTTCATGTAAATAGGAACCAGCCCCTCGAGCTTAGGGAGTCCCTTGATGTGCTCGAAGACGCGCATTGCAGCCTTTCCATACTTGGGATCACCTGTGACTTTACTCAAGTACCAAAACTCGAGCTGCAAAGTCGTCACCTCCGACGTGCTGCTCGCTCCACGCTCACCGGCAGCCGGATGAGCGCTTCTCGCCGACAAAACCACGTCCGAGAATGGAATCGCCGACGGACTCGTCTCAAAAGCGGCCATCAGCCGGTCTCCCAAGTCCTTCGCTAGCTTCAGATAGACCTCGGGCTTCGGTCCAGGCGAGAGAGCAACTCCATTCTTACTCCCGTCTATACCAGGCACCGAAGTGTCACCTCCGCTTAGATGGTACGCACTCAAAAGTCCTCCGAGCACTCGTATGGTTGTCTCAAACAAGTTTACCTGTCCCTGGTGGCTAAACCTGTTCGCGAGCTCCTTTTCTATCCATCCCCCGGCCTCTTCTACTACGTCGTCTAGTCCCATGATCATAGCGGTGTCTAAAGCGTCGATCGCGGTGGCTCCAATCCCTCCTAAACCATTTATACCTCTTCTACTCACTGGCTGCAACTCGTCGAATCCCAAAGCGAACTGCTTGTAACCATTCCACGCGTGCTTGAAAGCGTCGACCACGGCAGCTTGGCGTTTTATCCACACGAGCTCCTCGGGGCTGTTTCTTTCCGCGATAAATGGCAGCTTCACCTCGTTCTCTTGATGGTTGCTAGAGTTGCCGGAGCTACTGACTTGTCGAAGCAGGCCGAGCCGGAGCTTTGGTGGTAAGTTCGGGAGCCTGTGTGTGCTCCAAAACTTTTTGAGGAAAGGACTGTCCTTCATCCACCTGTGGCCATTGTATCCCCCTAGATTCCGCAGCAAACTCTTGTTGTTTGTGTGACCGGATTGATCCGGCTGGAGGAATGCAAGGTACCCGAGACCCATCAACATGAGCAGTGCGAGTAATTGTCCTAGCCCGCATGACGAGCAGCACCTCCTTCGTACTCCACTTGAGAAGAGAGCTCGTACTACCACCTGAAAGAAAACCAAACACATCGATAAAAACAATAAATGAGAAACAAAATGGCTAGGAAAAAATGACACACAAACGTTGAGAGCTCGAGAGAAAAAATCTACAGTGAAAAGAAAAGAGCAAAAACCAAAGCATTATATAAAGAGGAAACAAACAAACTCGAAGGATCGAGAGGGAAAAAAAAACAGTCAATGGAAGGCCGGAGAGAGATCAAAACCTAGCCCTACAATGCTGGATTGAAGAAGCGCGACGCATTCTCTCACGGATCGGGCCCAATTGCCACTGATGCTTCCAAATCCCGGAGATTTCGATCCATTTCAATCGTCGGCAGCTCAGGGCACGACAAATCGAGCTAGATCCAGCGGGAGAGCAAGAAAACGTACCCGAATGGCCGAGCGCCGCCTAAGCTTGGCATTGTCATATTGTAGATCGCGATTGGTGGAAGGGAGCAGCGCCATATCGTAGCTCCTCCTGGAGGGCGCTCATCAAGCAGGGCAAAACACGCTATGACATTGTAGAGCCGACGTGTCACGAAGCTATTGGCTAAATATATAAACAACTTCCTCATAAAGAGAATTACGAAACCACTAACATTTTAAAACTTACTATATTTATCTATAAAGTATTTTGGAATTATTAGTATTATCTTCATATTACAGTAAATCACATTAGTTATGCCTAATCAATCTCTACCTGGTTTTGAAGTCAGGTGAAGATGTCCAGGCCAATTTAATTGAGAATAACTTTTTAGTGCTCTAAAATTAAAATCACAATTTACACATAGGTTTTTAATTTTACTTGAAGGTTCTATATATGATCACATAAAAAGTAAAAATAGAGTAATTTGCAACTTAAAGCT